GTCATCCAGTTATGTGGAAAGCTTTCTATAGGTATTTCTGAGGTTAGTGATGAATTCTTAAGGGGCTTAAGCTGCACATTTCAGTTTATAGTATCATGTTTAATTAGTTTAGTGTATGGAAACATAAGAATTTTAACAGTGCTCTCAAAACAAAATAAAGTCACATAATGGGAAAAATGACCCAGGTGGAATATAGGAGAGGCTCAGCAATTAGCACCAGCTCAGCCATGTCCGACTCTCTGTGACTCCATGGACTCCAGCCCGCCAGGCTCCTCTGTCCATGGGACTCTCCAGGTGAGAATACTGGAGTGGGTTGCCATGCCCTCCTCCAGGGGATCTTTCCAATCCAGGGATCAAACCCAGGTCTCCTGTGTTGCAAGCAGATTCTTTACCTTCTGAGCCACCAGGGAAGCCCTCATAACCTGGAATCTGGTGTCAAATGACCTGAGTTTGAATCCTGCCATTCCATTTCTAAATGGTGTGACTGTGGGCCAAGTTACTTGACCTTCCTGTCCCTTAATTTTTTGATATATAAAAAGAAAAAAAGTACCTACCTAAAAAGGGTAGGATTATTGTGAGAATTATTAGATAATATTTGTGGAACATGTAACTTGGTTTCTGGCGTTGAGTATGTGTAAAATAAGTGTTTATTAATCACAATCTTACTGTTACAATTAGATTACACACCTCATAATTTGTCTTCTTCCTGAGAATAGTTGATTATCTCACATAAAAATTCTCACTTAAAATTTGAAAACAATCATTAAATAGCAAAGAAAAATCAGTAAGCTTGGAGAAGAAAGCTGGTGAGTGGTACACATGCATGGCATTAGACTCTACTATTGCTACTGGTGTTTCCTTAGAGGGTGCAGGTAAATTATTTTCAGTTTGCTCTTGTACTTAACCAGACTTACCAGATTTTTTGACATTTTGAATTTAGCATCATTTAGGTACTTATTCTATCAGGGAATAAAATTCATATCTAATAATAATTTACAGCATCCTTGTGAACATTGAAATATGAAAAGTATTTTATTGCTTTTTTCAGCCCTTGGGGGCCAAGATCCATAGATAACATCATTTTTCTTTCCTTTTATTTAAACCCTTAGAAGAACTGTGCACAAAACAAAATATCACAGTGATTTATCATATCCTCCTGTGTACCTGTTAGTAGATAGAAAAATAAAGCATTGCCAGCTCCCTAAAAGATACTTTTGTACCCCCTCCCAATCAATACCCCTACTACCAACCCCCCAAATTAGCCCCCTGTCCTGTTGGTCATACTAATTACTTTCTGGCTTTTCTTTATAGTTTTACCAACCAAGTATGTAGTACTGATCACTGTTGTTTAGTTTTGCCTGTTTTTTTTAAATTTTATTTGAATGAAATCATTCATAACATTTTTTACTCAACATGTTGTAAGATTCACTTGTGTTCCTGCATGTAGCAGCAGTTCATTCAGTTCTGTTGTTGTATAGTATTTAATTGTATAAATACACCACAGTTTGTGTATTCTATGGTAGATGGATAGTTGTTTTCCTTCCAGTCTGGGGTTACTTAGTCAGCGCTGTTAGGAACATTTCTATGCATTTAAGCATGTATTTCTGTAAAACACACCCAAGGAGAGAATTGAAAAGTCATAAGAATGCAATCTTGAACTTTCATAGATAAAGGCCAAGCTTTCCACAGTTTTACCAACTGTTTCTACCAGTGATGTGTGAGTTTCATTGCTGTATACCCTTAACAAAAAAATGGTCATTTTTTCCTCAAATTGATCATTCTGGTAGATGTGTAATAATATCTTATAGTTTTAGCACTTTTTTCCTAAGAAGAATTTGGTAAGAAGTTTCTAAAACTATTGACTAGATGAAGCCTTTGGTTTTTAATTTTCCTTGCTTTCCATGTCTTTTAATAATTAAGTTGATGATACTTTTAGAAAAAGTATTTTAAATTTTAAAACTACATGAACGCAGTTAATTTGAGATATTACCCAATATTCTTTCTGTATACTTTTTTCTGGCTTATCTTAAAAACAGATGTATTATTTCTCTTCATAATTATTAAGCTACCATTCCAGGAATCATAACAATTACTGAAATGAGAGGTATGGTCTGTGGTTTATGAAGTTGAGTTTAATGAACAAAACTTTCCAATTCCTCTGAGCCATTTTTCTTTGTTAGATTTTTTTAAAAATAAAGTACAACCATGGTAACTCATCTGGATGACATTGAATGGCTAGTTACTGTTGAGTGAAGTAAAACAGACTTTTAACAGCTCCTGGGTAATGTCTGAAAGGTAAAGTGACATAAGATAAATGTCTGTGTTCCACTCCGAAAATAGCGAAAGGCATATGGAACCAAGATTTAACTTAGTTGACTTGTAACTTAATCCTGCTTTAAATATGCTTTTGGGTTATTGAAGGTTATACTATGATTTCTTTTTGCAGAATTAGTACGAACAATGGGAAGTAATTAAGAAGATAAACGTTTGAAAGTTTTGAATGCTGACTTAATTTTGTAAATAATTTTCAAAACGCATAAATGCTTTGAAAAGAGAATATTGGAAATTTTTCTGGATAACTGAGTGCCCCAAATAATAGTATTACAGCTATTTATAAGTGTAAAACAATTTGTTCTTAAGCTTGAAAAAATTTTTAAATTCCTAAAAGGACTTGTGTTTTTGAAAATAGAATAATTTAACCTCAGATTTTTTTTTTTAACCTCAGATTTTGTTCTGTTAATAGTTATTTATTAGTAGAATTTTGAACTGAGAAGTTAGGTATTTTAAAAGGACTGATGTAAGCTTGTTTGGAAAATAATTATAACTTAAATTTGGAATTTAAATGATTAAAATGTCAACTATGGTCCCACCAAATGTAAAGTAGAAAAAAATACGCTATGTGTATTTATACTTAATTGGTAAGAATTGATGAACTTTGTCCCAATTTGCTCTTCTGCTTGGCTTAGAGATTATAATACAGACTGGTTGCAAATCTTTTGAATTTCAACTAAATTAATGGTTTGGATTTTTTAAAAACTTTACACTTCCTGTAGAGAATCACAAAATGTCTGTTTTCTGGTAGTTGGGGGTTGTAAATGGGATTTAGAACATTTATGGTAAAGATAATGAACTTTATTTGGGGGAAAATGATGGAATAAAAATCTGGATGAGTGAAAGCCAAAGAGATTTCTGATTTCTTTTCCAAGAAGATAAAGTATCTGACACACTTAGCAGATTGAAAATGAAAATAAAATCTGTATGTTTTGTTCTTTGCTTTTTTTATTCTTGTGATAGAATTTGAAGACTATCACTTGCTTGCCACAGTGTAGTCAGATCTATAAATAAGTATTGAATTTGTTTGAAAATATAATTTCTTTAAACTTTCCATTTTATATAGTTGATTAGCAGTGTTGTAATAGTTTCAGGCGTACAGCAAAGTGATTGTTAGACATACACATGTGTCTATTCTTATTCAAATTCTTTTCCCATTTAGGTTGTTACATAATATTGAGCAGAGTTCCCTGTGCTATACAGTAGGTCTTTGTTGGTTATCCATTTTATTTATTTTTCTTTTTTTGGTTATCCATTTTAAATACAGCACTGTGTATGTGTCAACCCCAAACTCCCAGTATATACCTCCCCCATCCCCTAACCATAAGTTCAGTCTCTGAGTCTGTGGGTCTTTCTGGTTTGTAAGTTCCTTTATATCATTTCTTTTGCATATAAGCAGTATCATGCATATTTTTCTTTTTCTGACTTACTTCACTCAGTACGACAGTCTCTGGGTCCATCCATGTTGCTGCAGATGGCATTGTTTCATTCTTTATCGTGGCTGAGTAATATTCTATTGTATACATGCACGACACCTTCTTTCCATTCCTCTGCCGGGAGACATGGAGGTTGCTTCCATGTCTTGGCTATTGTAAGCAGCGCTGCATTGAACATTGGGGTGCATGTATCCTTTCGGACCACATTTTTCTCTGGACGTGTATGCCCAGGAGAGGGATTGCAGGATTATATGGTAGTTATGGTTTTAGTTTTTAAAGGAATTTCCGTACTGTTCTCCATAGTGGCTGTCCCAATGAAAGTATAATATCAACAGTTAAGATTCCGGATGATAGTATGTGAAGATACTGACATTCACATTCAGAATGCCAGGTGTTGGTAATAGGTAGCCTGTCTTGGTATGGTCACATTAGTCATTTAGAAATGCCTTTAAGCTTTTTCAATCCTTTGAGATCATTGTGGGGAATTCCCTGGCATTCCAGTGGTTAGGACTCTGTGTTCTCACTGCCAAGGGCCCAGATTCAACCCCTGGTTGGGGAACTAAGACCCGTAAGTCACTTTGCTGTAGCCAGAAAATAAATAAATGAAAATGAGGGCAGTTATATTTGACCTTCAAGTAAGCAGAATCAACATCAGCCAACTACCCTGATCACTTTAGGCCTTTCAGTGTTTTAAAGTAGACCCTAAAGACTAAAATCTTCCTGAATTATTTTAATTGATTGGTTTATCACAGGTAACTAGCCAGACAGCATTTTATGCTGATAACTCATTTAATGTAAATGAATCTGCCAGTTACCTCAATTTGAGCAAGGCCACTTGCAACTTAAATTGCTGTGTTTCAGACTACCTGTGGTATAACATATACTGATTTACCGTGCTTGGTAGATAATCAACTCCAGTTATTATATACCAATTTGTTATTTACTCAAAAGCTTAAAAAATCTGAAATAGTTTAATCTCTTTTAAAAATAAGTGTCTCCTGTATACTATATCGTACTTTCTTCTCTGCTTGATGGTGTTCAGCGTCAGGGTGAAACACTTTGAGAGTCTGGTTAGAGTATATCCCATCAGTTTGTATTGTTTTTCCTTTTAGATTCCAGAATTCTAATAAAGACTGAAGTTTAAACAAAAAACAGAAAAAGTCAACAGTAGAATATGAAATATGGCAATGACAAGGAATGTCAACTTCTGAACTTTTTGCCTTTTCTTTTCAGATAAAGATACAGATATCACCATGAAAGGGAATGCGGATGACTTCGGCCTGAGAGACACCTTGAGTGTTGCATCAAATGATTCTTTTGCTTCAGCAGCAGAGGTAGGACATGTATGTTCCTAATGAGGACTTATTCTTTTTCAGCTGAACATTACTGTTTTGCCATTGTGCTGTAACTCAGTTCAGTAGCCATTTATTTAGTATCAACTCTGTGGTAGATACCAGGATACAAAGTATCCTGACTATACCATGAATATAAGTTCCCACAGGAGTTTAGAGTCTCTTTAGAGAGGTGGACATGTAAACATTGACTTTAAGTGAACACTTTCCTAGACGGTAGATTATGGATGAGGCATATCAGTGTGTTAGTGGAAAGCAATTCACCTTTAAGAATCTTAAAATTATTCAGATTGTTTAGCTGAGAAATCATGTTTCTAGATATTTTTTTCCCAAGGAAATGAGATTCAAAGATTTATATATAAAAACTATTCACAGTAGCATTTTAAATAATAATGAAAAACTGAAAACAGTGTAATGCCAAATTATGGAGTATCCATAATTTGAAATATTCTAGTGCCATAAACACACTTCCAATGTTTTTAATGACATGGGAACATAAATTAAGTGAAATGAGTATAGAGAGTGTGTGCTTGTAATTTTGTAATGAAGTAAAACCTGTATATGGTGTATTACGTGAGTATTTAAGCTGAGGGAGAAAAGGCTAGATATAAATACACTAATGTGTGATCACTAAATTATAGATTTATGGGTAATTTGTTTTATGCTGAGACTTAAATTTTTTATCCAAAGAGAAGGTTGCAAAGTGGTCATCTGTTTATAATGTTTTCTACTTGAGGCAGTTTTAAAAATTACCCAATTTTATAGCCAATTTTATCTTAGAATTGTTTCGTTTTTATGGTAGATTCTTAGATACTACTGCTGTCCTTTTTCAGATAAATAGTATCACACATTATCTGTTATTGATGTATGGATTCAAGCTCTAGTATGGAAAGCTTAGGTATTCCAACACCCTTTTCCCTAAACTTTGACTCTGACTTCTTTAAAGCTGTGCAGACCATAATCTGTCATCCTCTCAAGATTTTTCTGCATGTGTATTTTAGCTATTGCTTACAGTATCAGCTGCTGAGTTCACAGTTTTCCTTATATTTTTATACTTGTAAGTTTGCAACACACAAAACATATCGACTTGTTTTATGAAGTAGCTATTTCCTCTGCTTTTTATGGGTTGTTATAGACAGAGTTATCTTTCTGTTTTCCCCCCAGCTTTATTGAGATACAATTGACTTATAACATGAAGTTTAACCTGTACAAAGCAATGATTTGAAACATCTATTTGGAATAATTATCACAATAAGGCTAGTTGTTACCTCCAGCACCTCACATGATCACCTTTCTTCTTTGTGGTATGAATATTTGCTCTCTTAGTAGCTTCCAGGCATATGATACAGTGCTGTTAACTAGCGTCACGATGCTGTACGTTACATCCCCAGAGCATTCATCTTCTAACTGGTAGCTTGTACCCTTTGATCAGCATCTCCCCAATTGTTTCCACATCCTGCTCCTGGTAACTACCATTCTGATCCTCTGTTTCTATGAGTTTGGCTTTTTTAGATCAAAATTATCTGATACCCTACAGTACAGTTGACCTTGACCCTACATAGGTTTAAACTGTGTAGATGCACTTATATGTGGATTTTTTTTCAATAAATACATACTGCATCATCTGCAGTTGGTTGAATCCAAGGATGTGAAACTGTGAATACTAAGTGCCAACTATGGGACTTGAGCATCTGAAGACTTTGGTATCCAAGGCAGGTCCTGAAAAAGGAAATGGGGGGATGACTATTTCAACCACTGCTGCTAAGTCACTTCAGTCGTGTCCAACTCTGTGCGACCCCATCCCTGGGATTCTCCAGGCAAGAACACTGGAGTGGGTTGCCATTTCCTTCTCCAGTGCATGAAAGTGAAAAGTGAAAGTGAAGTCGCTCAGTTATGTCTGACTCTTCGCGACCCCATGGACTGCAGCCTACCAGGCTCCTCCATCCATGGGATTTTCCAGGCAAGAGTACTGGAGTGGGGTGCCATTGCCTTCTCCGATTTCAACCACAGATGGGGTCAATTCCCCTAACCCCCACATTGTTCAAGGGTGAACTGCATTTGTCCTTCTCTGTCTTATTGCACTTAACATAATGCCTTCAAGATCCTGCCCCATACATATTGTCACAAATGACAAGATTTCTTTCTCATGGATGAATGATATTTGATTGACTATATATACATTTATTTATGTATACCATATCTTCTTTATCCATTCATCAATTGATGTACACTTGAGTTGTTTCCATTTCTTGGCTCTTGTGAATAATGTTGCAATGAACATAAGAGTGCAGGTATCTCAAGATAGTGATTTCATTTCCTTTTGATACATACCAGAAGTAGGATGCTGAATCATGTGGTTTAAGCTACAAAGGTTTGGTAAATTATGGAAACAAAATGCATGAATACCACAGGAAGGGCTCACTATCGGCGAAACCTCCTAGGAATGCTTCTAAGTATAAATGTATGATCTCAGAATGTGAATGTTCCAAGATAAATTCCTTTTTAAGAAATGTTTGTTAAATTATTTTTAATTGCACTTACTATATGCCAAGAACTTAGCAGAAAAAAAAAAAATTGTTCAATGAAGAAAGTTGTTAAGAAAATACGACCAGAAATCTTTGGAAAGTTTAAACAGTTTGTGATAATTTAAAAGCTTTAATTCAAAATTATCAGAAAGAGTTTTTGCCTAAATATTTAGATTAAAGCAAGTCCTGGCATAGACTTTTCTCTAAGCTTGGTCAGTCATTTTTGAAAGTGATTAACAAGATTCTCCTGTATAAGCTTTACCAGATATTGGTTTGGAACCAGAGCCTTTTTTTCTCTGAAAAGTCTTTTTTTTTTAAACTTATACCTTTATTGAGATATAATTCATGTACTATAAAAGTTCACTCTTTTAAACTGTACAGTTGAGTGGTTTTAGTGTATTCACAGAGTTGTGCAAACTTTCTAATTCCAGTACATTTTTATCACCCCAAAAGAAACATCCTACCTATTGGTAATCACTTCCTTTCTCTCCACCCCACTGTCCTAGGGAATTACTCCTGTACTTTCTGTCTTTGTGGATTTGCCTATCCTGAACATTTCATACTAATAGAATCATACAATATATGATCTTTTGTGTTTGATGTTCTTTTACTTAGCATAATTTTCAAGTTCTGAAAAGTCTTTTTAATGTTAGGGTGCCACTGCATTGAGTACTCTCCTGACTTTCCTGTCTGTTAAAAAGATTGTCATTTAATTGTTGTTGTTGTTCACTCAGTCGTGTCTGACTCTTTGTAACCCCATGGACTGCAGCACACCAGGCCTCCCTGTCCTTCACCAACTCCTAGAGCTTGCTCAAACACATGTCCATTGAGTTGGTGATGCCATCCAACCATCTTGTCCTCTGTCGTCATTTAATAGGTAGAAACTAAAATTGCAAAGGGCTTCCCAGTTGGCTTGGTGGTAGAAGAACATGCCTGCCAAGCAGGAGATGCTGGTTGGATCCCTAGTTCAGGAAGAGCCCCTGGAGAAGAAAATGGCAACCCCCTCTAGTATGCTTACCTGGGAAATCCCATGGACAGAGGACCTTGGAGGGCTACAGTCCATGGAGTTGCAAAGAGTGGGACATGACTTAATGACTAAACAACAATAACAGTATTTTTTAGCTGTAAATTTAGTTTTTCTTAAAATTACCACAATTACCATTGTGTGTCTGTATATGAATTTAATATATAAATTGTAGGGTTCTCTTTATTTATTTTTAAATAAATTTATATTTAATATAATTTTTTTCATTTATTTTTATTAGTTGGAGGCTAATTACTTCACAACATAATTTTAAATAAAATTTATTTAATTATTCAGCTGTGTCAGCTGTTAGTTGCAGCGTGTGGGATCTTTCAGTGCATGCAGGGGCTTAGTAACCGTGGCCCACAAGCATAGTTATTCTTCAGTAGGTAGGATCTTAGTTCCCAGACCAGGGATTGAACCTGTGTCCCCTGCATTGCACAGCACATTCTTAACCACTGGACCACCAGAGAAGTCCCTAGGGTGCTCTTTAAAGAGAAAGTTTTATTTCCTATAATTCAGATACCTCTAGTCATACTCTAAAAGGAAACTTGGAAAGCTTTTGCTGTACCTCTCTGACTTGATAGCACTTGTTTATAACAACCCAGAATTATCTTATTTCCTCTGGGGTCAATTTTGTCTGTTTATCTTGGGCTTTCATTTTCGTACTGATGGTTTTCTTTTCAAATTTGAAAGCCTAATTGGTGACTGGGTTGATTTTCTCAAGTAGTTTGTGTGGGATAACAGCCTTGTTTTATGTTTGTTTCTTCTGGAAGAGGTGAACAGGGAAGGATAACTGGGCTCAGTTGATTTCTCTGAGGTTGTTGATTGCAAGGCATTTCTTTAGGATGAATGGCCTGGAGATAGGCCAGTAATCAGGGCACACCTGTATGCAGAATTGAAAGGGCTTTACTCTGGCAGGTCCGTTTCTCACCCTGGCAGACTTACTTTCCCCAGGTGGTGCAAGTAGTTTGTTCTGTTTTTTGGCCGTGGCACATGGCTTGTGGGATCTTAGCTCCTTGACCATCGGCAGTGAAAGCACGGAGTCCTAACCGCTGGACCACCAGGGAATTCCTGTTCAAGTAATTTTTAAAAAGAAATGTTCTCTGGTTGCCAGTTTGTTTTCCTGTAAGCTGCCTTTCTATTCCGTGGCAGAAAGTAGAATAAGATAGAGGACAGCTACAGTTATCTGGACACAGACTTCCATTTAAACTCCCATTTTCAATCCCTCTTCTTCAGTCCTGCCCTCATACCTGCTCACTGTGGGCCTGGTGCTTCTCTCTGATTATATCCTGTCTTGAACTTGGCTTTCCCTTGTGGCTCAGCTGGTAAAGAATCCGCCTGCAATGCGGGAGACCTGGGTTTGATCCCTGGGTTGGGAAGATCCCCTGGAGAAGGGAAAAGCTGCCCACTCCAGTATTCTGGCCTGGAGA